CGACTGCCTCTTAAAGTTTATGGAGCAGCAGTAATAACATAAAAAAATTAAATGAAATAAAATGAAATGACTTTTTTTTTCTAAAATTTGAAATTTTTTATGAAAATCATCCCCCCACATGCCATATAAAGTATAAAAAGATAGATTTCGTTCCTTGTAACAAATCAATTGTGGCAAATAAGCTTCGTTCAACCAATTTGGAAAGATTTCTAAAACGGATTAAATCTCCGCTTACGCATTAATAGCGCGAAATATATCGCGCGTTAATTGTCACAAATTGGCCAAAATGGCAATCTTTAAGCCCCCGTAACTTTACGAAAAATGATCACAGGTAAAATATCTTTCCAAATTTGAGCTCAGGACAACAATACCTTTCGAATGATGTAAAAATGGCTAGTTAAAAAGTCGAAATTTGTCTGAAGAAAAAAAAACCCACCCCGAGCACAAATATTCCGTCACTTTCGTATCGAAAGTCGGAACAATAATAATCATAATAATCATAATCATAATCATAATCATAATAATAATAATCATAATAATATTCACATTCATTATACTAATGATAATCATAATCATAATAACCAATATCTTTTTGCTGTTTTAAGTTTTCAACCTGTCAAAAATTGATAAAATATTCAAAAAAGCCCCAATTTTTTTTCAGTTTTTTTGTGTTAAATACTAAATAACTTATGCGAACCTACCCGGGTGGAACTCCATAAACCAAAATGTTTATCTTACAATTTCATACACCGAAAATGTTTATCATACAATTTTATACATCAAAGTATGGAAAAATGCTAATCATACAATTTACATACAATTTCAAAAAATCATTGAAAAAACATTCAAACTAGTTTCTGCGGCTATTTGAGCCAAAAAATAGTCTGGTGATGAAAAAAAATGTGTTTCTTTTTTTATAGAAAAAAATGGTTATCATACAATTTCCAAAATGCATGCATAACGTAGTCCTGGATACACAAAAATTGAATTTTTTTTCCGTTTCTCCGGATAACTTTTTTCAAACCGGCTACAAACTCCTATTTCTTTTGTATGGCATGTTTATATATGCATTGATCAATGTCTGATAATTTGAAAATTTTAATTTTAAAAAAATTCATCTTTGAAAATTTTTACCAAAATTTAAAAGTTTGATACTTTCATATATGATTTGTGAAGAGAACTCTTACTCAATTCAAGTCGTTTCCAATGCATTGTAAATGCCAGACAATCAACACTTTGGTGACTCTAGTTTTGAGTAAACCATGGTTTTAGTCACTTGTGTTCGATCACGAACACATCCCTTAAATTTACAGAAATAAAACTTTCGAAAATTACTCTTTTGGTTTATGAAAAAATGCTTGTCCTACAATTTCCATGTACAGAAAAATGCTTACCTTAGAGTTTTCTTAACATTTTCCGTATCTATGGAATTGTGCAAAATTGTATGGTAAGCATTTTTTCATACTTGAAAATTGTAGGACAAGCATTTTTGGTCAACCCGGATATGTTTAGTGATATATTTTGAGTCTGGTAATCCATGAAAAAGAGCAATTGCGGAACAATAAAAATTATCACTATTGAATAAAAAGATCTGTTTTCGAGCGCCTCAGTTCTTTTTATTAAATATTTTGAGCAGATACTCGCAAGTTACGTTGATGTTCCTGTAGTGTCTTGCTTTTGGCTCCCACTTATTAAGAGACAAAAATCTTACACAGAGTTATGAATGCGTATCACTCACCACTTTTGTGCAAAAAAAATTGGTTCGGGGGTTCAATTTTTTTCTCAATCATTCTCAAAAAATTAAGAGAAATAGTTCAAACGTTTGAAAAAACGTGAGAAGCCTCAGATGAAAACTAAATAGTTTCAAGAGAGCAGTTAACAAAAATTAGAGAAAATTTTTAGAAATTTCCCATATATTGCAAACCTTATTTCAACTGCTTCTATCGAGACAGAGAGAGAGAGAGAGAGAGAGAGAGAGAGAGAAGAGAGATAGAGAAAGAGAGAGGTGTGAAGGGGAGGGGAGGAGAGAGGGGGAGAACCGAGGGGAGGAGAGAGAGAGTGGGAGAACAGAGGGGGAGGAGAGAGAGGGGGAGAACAGAGGGGGAGGAGAGAGAGGGGGAGAACAGAGGGGGAGGAGAGAGATAGGGAGATGAGAGGGAGGAAGTTATTACAAGGTCATATTTTTGACGTTCAAACCAATCCACTAATTTTGAAATTGTTTTTACACCTCGTACCTATTATTTTTAGTTTTTACTTTATCAAGTGTATCATGAAGATTCGAACACCGTATAAAACCAATTTGTCCAAATACCAAGATCCGTAATAAGAGAGCCAGAACTTTCATTGATTACAGAAAATTTTTATAGTGAAAGTTAGAAAATTTGAAACTAAGAGAAACTGATTTTCTCGCTTTTCTTCTGCTAAAATTCGACAGATTTTAGCTCAAAAAATTTTAGAAGCCAAGAGTTTTGATTTTTTTAAAACTGGTTTCAAAACATTAATGATAGCAGTTAGTTATTCTTGACAACGCCTTGATATGGCGATGGCTTTGGATTCGAACTGAGGCAAAATTTGAACGGCGCATCAAATTTGAGGACATTAAGGTAATCAATATAATTGATTTGTTTCGACAGAATCAACCAAATTAGAAATAACAGCTAAACCAAACCATCAAGCTGCAAAGAAGCTCAAGATGCTAAAAAAAGTCCTCCCGTTCTTCTGGATGACCGATTTTATATAACAATATGAAAACCAAAATCGAAAGTGAAGTGAATCAAAATCAATGAATTAAAAATAGAATGGAGTTTTTATGAATTAACTTTGTTACCGCAAATAGAAATCATTTTCAAATTCATTTTCAGAAGTTTGGGATATTTTTTTAAAATACAATCATTTACTTCAAATTATTTTGCTGCACTTCTGAAAATGTTATATAAATTAATCTCCGACTTTTTTACCTATACCAACTATACAGACTCATTCACCTATACCAACGTAAAGAATGGCCAAACTCAATGAAAAAGTACATTCGGAAACTGCATAGCGTGAACAAACAACAAAAAATTACCTTAAACACCGAGCACGCTTTTTCACCGAGTTGTTTAAAATTGAAGTTAAGAAGCTTGCTAACCAAGCTCGAGAAGAAGCCACAAACACTGGTAAACACTGGTGAACACTGGTAACATACTATCTTTATTGCCAAAATTGACTTGCTTCTTTATGCAACGCCGTTAAAAGCGATTTATTTAACATCTCCCAAAAGAACAAAACAAATCAGGCAGCAAGGCTTAGAAACAATACCAAAACAAGGACTGAACCTCTCATAATCACACACAGCCGTGATACATTCTTATATTTTGATTGTGGTAGTTGGAACAATTAAATTTTTACATTTGCAACAATACCTGCGCCGCTAGAATTGCTCTCTCAGTCCAAAATCTGTCATCGCGATGGATCGTTTTCAATGGCGCCAGATGTCTTCTACCACGTTTATTCCTTACATGGTGTCATCGAAAACCCATTTATACTCATGGTGGATGCTCTGCTGCCGTGCAAGATTCAAAACACGTATGATTACACTTTTTAACTGCTTAAAGAAACTAGGAACTAAAATTATCGTTGATTTTGAAGCCGCTGTTCGCAACGCCATTAAAAAAATGCAGCCTGATCCAGAAATAAATCGAGTCTGTTTCTTTTACCTGGGCCAGGCAGTTTGGCACAAGGTACAAAAAACTGTTTTTACAAGCAAATACATAGGCGTTGATGAGTTTCGCTTAAATTTCAAAAATTGATTTGCGTGGCGATCGTTCGCGTTGACGATCTAGCAATCGCATTTGAAGAGCTCAGAAAAAAGGTCCTTCAGAGGCGTTTCAGAGTCTAATGGAAAACTTTAAAGACGCCTATTTCTAAGCCTTTCGAGGAAACAGACGCGTCAAACCAAAGTTTGACATTGCCGATTGGAACATTTTCAATTGGGTGCTCAGCGCAGAACCTTGTACGATTAATCCATTGGAGGCATGGAATGGCAGCATCAGTAGATTCGTGTCGACAAAGCACCCATCCTTCCCCAAGCTCATCACACATTTCAAGGAAAAAAAAGCCGAAACTAACGGAGAGACGAGGATGGCTGGTGATGGCGATATTATCAGAAAATCGAAGCCCAAATATTCACTCGCCAATAGAAAACTCGAGTGCCATTGAGCAACTCGAGCAAAGTTATTAAAATCGAGTCCACATACAGACTTATTTAAATTTTTGAAACTTTAATGTACATATATTCTATAGCTTCATGTCGAGCAAAATTATTTTGAACTCGGAAACTTGTTATTTGCCCTCTGACTCTAATAAAATTGGAAAAAGTTTTGATTTTTCTTCTATCTAGTCTCTTTAATCTAGTTTGTTGAATCACTTTTGGCTGAATTGTCTCAGTTTGTTTTGTTTGCGCTGTCTGTATTTAAAATTGGCTGAATTGTCTGTGGCTGAGTTGCCTGCAAATTGCATTTTTAAACATACTTTTCGAATTAATTAGTTTTTATACCGTTTTTAAGAACAGGTGAATATTTTATAACTACTGTTAAAAAACTAAGAAGGTTGTAAAGAACAACCCTGCTTTAAAAAGAAGCAACAATATAAATTAAAATTAACCCGTCATTCAAAAACGCGCCAGTGAATTGTGATAACAACGGATGCTCTGAAAGTTACTACTCCCTCAGGCATATCATCATCCGTATTCGTCTTTATAATTGGGTTCTGCAGCGGTTGACCGGCCATGAGCTGAACATATCGGGTTTTGCCCTTTCAATCGTAGATAAATGGTCTGGACTAAAATGACTTGCTGAATGGCACAGTAGGAAATAATTTTTAACTACTGTATTAATTTTTTATTAATACCACCACTCAGTAAAAACACTACAACAGTAACATATAAGGTGCACAAGAGTTGGCTCCTTAAAAATCTGCTTCAGAGCGATTGTTTGAAAAATTTGATCGCAAAAAAAACGTGAAGTACGAATTTTTTTATTTAACCTTGCTAAAGCTAAACTATGGATCAGAATAAAATAAAATATCGGTTTTGGGCTGTTTTTGTGTTGAATCACAGAGTGCTTCTGTGAATATTCCTCTTCATTCGTCGGATGTCATGAAGTGATATGCCTGTGAGAACTTGGTAGTCCCGTAGACCACTGTCTTGGCAGCTATCCTCACAGAGTAATGAGAGTCGGGTACTAGGTCCTGCAAATGAAAGAAAAGGCCATAACTCAATTTCATAAATATTATCAAATATATTAATTAACCTGTCACTTTTACCTGATGTATTAACTTTTTTAATCTCAAAAAAACTTTGATTGCTAATTGAATTTTAGCCAAAGTTAAAAAAACAACATAAATGATATTCAGTCAAGTTTTCAACAACAAAAAAAACTTGAATTTTTAACCAAATTATCAAAAAAAATATGATTTCATTTTAACCAAAATTTGAACAATTAACCTGATATAATTTTAATCAAAATTTGAACCAAAAACTGGAATCGTGAACGCATCGATTAGAAATGAAAATTCTTCTATTTCTCTATAATTGTGAATACGATAAGAGCAGGGGCGGATCTAGGATTTTCTCGAGGGGGGGAGGGCAGATTTTCTAAAATTTTGTCGAACTTTTTTTTGGTTGACTAAATTGGTGTCTGAGCTCTTCCAAATCACTAAAAAGACTCTATTTTGACAAAATTTTCTGCGCCGCAGAAAATTTTTATTAGGAAAAAGTCGGTCAAAAAAGGCGTTTTTTAAGCATTTGACCAAAAAATCGCGTTTTTTCGGCGCGCGCTCCCCCTCAAAGTTAGCATATATTGGCGCCCAAGGCGCCTTTAGAAAATTTATGGATCAGTCAGCCGGAAATTGCTATCTCAAATTAATGCAAAGGGGATACACTTTGGGTTGGCAGGGGTTCGAATCCCTGAGGGGAAGGGGGCGTCCACCCCCGCACCCTAAATCCGCTTGTGGATAAGAGTGTAATCACCTTCAGCTTCGCTTGGCTCTTTTGTCCAGGTGTGACAATCAGTGGCTCCTCAGTTGTGTCCTGTGACTGGTGCAACATCACCACTAGAATGAACTCGGAGATGTCCAGACCAGCCAGAGTGCTCCACTGCACTATCACCTCAGTCGGGTCCACGAAGATCACCCGCGTCACCTCTGGAGTCCAGCCTATGCTGCTGCCTGAAACACGCAAATTAACTCAATAGTCATCATAATAATAGTCATAATCATGGTCATTAAAATCATCATAAACATAATAATCAAAATCATGACAAAAATAACCATAATAATAATCATAATAATAATCATAATAATAATTATCATTATAATCAAAATCATAATCATAATAATAATATAAAATAATCATAATAATTTTAATCGAAACAAGACTGCTCGTATCAGGGCGAAGCCTTGAATGTTCCGACTGCCTCTTAAAGTTTATGGAGCAGCAGTAATAACATAAAAAAATTAAATAAAATAAAATGAATTGACTTTTTTTTTCTAAAATTTGAAATTTTTATGAAAATCATCCCCCCGCATGCCATATAAAGTATAAAAAGATAGATTTCGTTCCTTGTAACAAATCAATTGTGGCAAATAAGCTTCGTTCAACCATTTGGAAAGATTTCTAAAACGGATTAAATCTCCGCTTACGCATTAAAAGCGCGAAATATATCGCGCGTTAATTGTCCCAAATTGGCCAAAATGGCAATCTTTAAACCCCCGTAACTTTACGAAAAATGATCACAGGTAAAATATCTTTCCAAATTTGAGCTCAAGAGAACAATACCTTTCGAATGATGTAAAAAAATTCCGTCAAAAATGGCTAGTTAAAAAGTCGAAATTTGTCTGAAGAAAAAAAAACCCACCCCGAGCACAAATATTCCGTCACTTTCGTATCGAAAGTCGGAACAATAATAATCATAATAATCATAATCATAATCATAATAATAATAATAATAATCATAAAAATAATCACATTCATTATACTAATGATAATCTTAATCATAATAAACAATATCTTTTTGCTGTTTCAAGTTTTCAACCTGTCAAAAATTGATAAAATATTCAAAAAATCCCAAACTTTTTTTCAGTTTTTTTGTGTTAAATACTAAATAACTTATGCGAACCTACCCGGGTTGACCTCCATAAACCAAAATGCTTATCTTACAATTTCATACACCGAAAATGTTTATCATACAATTTTATACATCAAAGTATGGAAAAATGCTAATCATACAATTTACATACAATTTCAAAAAATCATTGAAAAAACATTCAAACTAGTTTCTGCGGCTATTTGAGCCAAATAATAGTCTGGTGATGAAAAAAAATGTGTTTCTTTTTTTATAGAAAAAAATGGTTGTCATACAATTTCCAAAATGCATGCATAACGTAGTCCTGGATACACAAAAATTGAATTTTTTTCCGTTTCTCCGGATAACTTTTTTCAAACCGGCTACAAACTCCTATTTCTTTTGTATGGCATGTTTATATATGCATTGATCAATGTCTGATAATTTGAAAATTTTAATTTTAAAAAAATTCATCTTTGAAAATTTTTACCAAAATTTAAAAGTTTGATACTTTCATATATGATTTGTGAAGAGAACTCTTACTCAATTCAAGTCGTTTCCAATGCATTGTAAATGCCAGACAATCAACACTTCGGTGACTCTAGTTTTGAGTAAACCATGGTTTTAGTCACTTGTGTTCGATCACGAACACATCCCTTAAATTTACAGAAATAAAATTTTCGAAAATTAGTCTTTTGGTTTATGAAAAAATGCTTGTCCTACAATTTCCATGTACAAAAAAATGCTTACCTTAGAGTTTTCTTAACATTTTCCGTATCTATGGAATTGTGCAAAATTGTATGATAAGCATTTTTTCATACTTGAAAATTGTAGGACAAGCATTTTTGGTCAACCCGGATATGTTTAGTGATATATTTTGAGTCTGGTAATCCATGAAAAAGAGCAATTGCGGAACAATAAAAATTATCACTATTGAATAAAAAGATCTGTTTTCGAGCGCCTCAGTTCTTTTTATTAAATATTTTGAGCAGATACTCGCAAGTTACGTTGATGTTCCTGTAGTGTCTTGCTTTTGGCTCCCACTTATTAAGAGACAAAAGTCTTACACAGAGTTATAAATGCGTATCACTCACCACTTTTGTGCAAAAAAATTGTTCAGGGGTTCAGTTTTTTTCTCAATCATTCTTAAAAAATTAAGAGAAATAGTTCAAACGTTTGAAAAAACGTGAGAAGTCTAAAATGAAAACTAAATAAATTCAAGAAAGCAGGTAACAAAAATTAGAGGTAATTTTTAGAAATTTCCCATATATTGCAAACCTTATTTCAACTGCTTCTATCGAGACAGAGAGAGAGAGAGAGAGAGAGAGAGAGAGAGAGAGAAGAGAGATAGAGAAAGAGAGAGGTGGGGAGGGGAGGGGAGGAGAGAGGGGTAGAACAGAGGGGGAGGAGAGAGAGGGGGAGAACAGAGGGGGAGGAGAGAGAGGGGAAGAACAGGGGGGGAGGAGAGAGATAGGGAGAGGAGAGAGAGGAAATTATTACAAGGTCATATTTTTGACGTTCAAATCAATCCACTATTTTAAAAATTGTTTTTACACCTTGTACCTATTATTTTTAGTTTTTACATTACCAAGTGTATCAAAAAGATTCGAACACCGTATAAAATCAAATTGTCAAAATACCAAGATCCGTAACAAGAGAGCCAGAGCTTTCATTGATTATAGAAAAGTTTTATAGTGAAAGTTAGAAAGCTCGAAACTAAGAGAAACTATTTTTCTCGCTTTTCTGCTAAAATTCGACAGATTTTAGCTCAAAAAATTTTAGAAGCTAAGAATTTTGATTTTTTAAAACTGGTTTCAAAACATTAATGATAGCAGTTAGTTATTCTTGACAACGCCTTGATATGGCGTACAAACATTAATCGGGTAGTTTTCACAAAAAATGCATTTAAAAGATAGACGTATAGTTTCAACAACTCTTTCAATCAACAAAAAAGCTCAAAACATCTGAATCTGAAGAGCATACAGCACTGACATTTCCGTTTTTAGTTGATGTTTTTCCGCTTTTTTGCAAAGATAACGCTGGTAGAAGTTCTGCTTTTATACTTGCAACTGGCTCATTCTCTTTTAAATACTACAGTGCTGATTTAAATTATCCGGACAAACGAACAAAACTTGAATTTTCAAACGCGTTTTTCTCAAATTGGGTTAAGATAAGACAAAAAGTGAACAGAACAAAAATTGCTTAGAATTTCATCAGAATTAATATGGTGCAGTTTTTTCTCCGAAATTCTCAACCAAAATTTTACCCCAAAAATGGGTCATTTTGGCTTTTTTCAATTAATCAAGAATTACGCTAAAACTACTTTGTTAATTGATAAGAATATTATATCATTGGAAGCCTCTTACGCAGCTCAACAAAGTTTAAGAAGGGTTAATTCTCCAAAAATTTGCGCAAATTGTGTAAAGTTTGTTTTTAAGCAAAGGTTCTGGGTTTTATATAGTAAAAATTACATTTATTGATTATTAAGTGAAAGCTTTTTCTCTTATACTGGTTTTTGGAGATTTATCCCTTCTTAAACTTTGTTGGGCTGCGTAAGAGGCTTCTAATGATTTAATATTCTTATCAATTAACAAAGTAGTTTCAACGTAATTCTTGATTAATTGAAAAAAACCAAAATGACCCATTTTTGGGTTAAAATGTTTGTTGAGAACTTCGGAGAAAAAACTGCACCATATTAATTCTGATGAATTTCTAAGCAACTTTTGTTCTGTTTACTTTTTGTCTAATCTTAACCCAATTTGAGAAAAACGCGTTTGAAAATTCAAGTTTTGTTCGTTTTGTCCGGATAATTTAAATCAGCACTGTATTGTTATGTTTGTTATATGCATTTTTGAATTAAAGCAAAGCTAGCTATATTATCTAATCAATCATTTCAATTTTGTTAAATCCCTCAAATTCTTGCAGAGAGATTTTAGATTTTCACATCCCGTTGAACGTTAAATATCTAGATACCCGCCTTTGTTTTGAATCAAGTAATAAAGGAATGCTATGCCTATTGAATTAATTATGAGGATTGTTAAGAATCTTTCATACTGACCTTTAGTTCTGAGATGACTTGGCAAGTTCATTTGCAGCTGAACAGAGAGGCGGTGAAGTGAGGCTCTTCTTATTCTTGTTCTTCTGCTTCCTTCCTTCCTTTCTTCTCTATGTCCTCTCAGCCCTGATCGGTCGTAAAAATGTCAGCAGCAGAAGCGGACGGGATATTGCACTGCCTCTGAGGGCGACATCAAGGCCAAACACAAGATGCCAACATGTATGAAATACAGCTCTGACTATGACCAACACAACAGACAAGATATAATTTATAGGAGGCAACTGAATCCAGCAATCGGAAAAATCGGCCGGGGACTTTTCCAAATCAAATTTATCTAGTTGTCGTCAGAATAAAAGCAAAGTTAATGAAATTGACGTCCGGTTGAGACAGTTTTTTGGCCGGACTTTATTTTTTTTTAACCAAACAAGCGAAGATAATGAAAACTTGAATTCGATTGAAATGGAAATCAAAAACGACAAAAGTGTAATATGGTTTTTAGACAAATCAGATCATTATCTAGAGCATCCAGTGAACATTATAAGAATCCAAAGTTAAAAAGATATTTCAGGCAGCTTTTAATTTACAGTTCAATGAAGACAAAAAATTGTATTTGATGAATTCAGAAGTATATCTGCTCTCTGAGTTCAGTCAAATCTCAGCGATGATTATTGATGGATATCTGGAACTAGTTGTAATGTCTGGTCGCAGTTCCAATTCACTGGGAATTAGTTGATCAAAATTTAATGCGGTCTTTTCAACTACCAAAACAGTTGAGCTCAATTGCACTTTACCTGCAAAATTGTTCTATTTTTGGCAAACAGAAAAAAAGATAATCGATTTTTTCGCCGCGCGCGATTACCTTTTAATAAAGTAGCTAGCGGTGATAAATTTTCAGATCGTGCAGAATAATGCGATGGCTTTGGATTCGAACTGAGGCAAAATTTGAAAGGCGCATCAAATTTGAAGACATTAAGGTAATCAATATAATTGATTTGCTTCGACTGAATCAATCAAAATAGAAATAACAGCTAACCCAAACCATCAAGCTGTAAAGAAGCTCAAGATGCTAAAAAAAAGTCCTTGCGTTCTTCTGGATGACCGATTTTATATAACAATATGTAAAACAAAATCGAAAGTGAAGTCAATCAAAATCAATGAATTAAAAATAGAATGGAGTTTTTATGAAATAACTTTGTTACCGCAAATAGAAATCATTTTCAAATTCATTTTCAGAAGTTTGGGATACTTTTTTAAGATACAATCATATATTTCAAATTATTTTGCTGCACTTCTGAAAATATTATATAAATTAATCTCCGACTTTTTTACGATACAGGAATTGCTGTGGCAATTCTGCTTTTAAGTTTATATACTTTTTTGCAGTTACAATCTAAAAACAAAGTTCATCGGGACAAGATGGTTGAAATGTTTTAAAAGAGAATTGATAAGAAAGAAGAAGAAACAGGATTGATCGCTTGAAAGGCACTCTAACTCCCTTGTTCGAATCAGAGGCTTTCAGGATTCAAAAGATTACAAGGCAACCCGGCTCTGTGAAGTTTAATCGAAAAGAATTAATTCAAAAGAATTTCTAAATTCAGAGGCTTGATTTGCGAAAAATAAATGCCTGAAACAAGCTAAAAACACCTAATGAGCTCGCATTTTCCGCATTGCTAAATTTTTTTGATTCGATACACAAAATTTGAAAGAAGTGCCCAAAAATGATACCAACGAAGACAAACGAATTATTTGGGGTTTAAAACATTACGAGGGGAATTTGACGTTAATTTGTATAACTTGAAACAATCCTTTTGGAATAAACTCGAATTTGACTTCATATATACTCACAGATACTTGAAGGCATTCGTTAAGTCCCTGAAAATCCGTTCATAAACAAACTGACATTCTTGTGAATAAATTTGGATCACTGGCTGTATCACCCCGTCAATAGGGATCTCAAGACACTAACCGGGGATTACCTTCAGCGAATTTCAATTTACCCCAAGAAGCAAAGGCGCTCTTGTGGCAGAATTGAAAAGGTTAAGTGAACTTGATAAAATGTGACAGTTTCCTGGTTTACAATGAGGTATTTAAATTTGAGCTCATTTTTTGTTTAAAACCAATTACGTTTCAGGAACAGGAAATGAAAAAGGGTGCTTTTGTGAGGAGACACTTACCTGAAATATGACTAGCTTTATGGCGCAAATTTTACCTTTTCCTGTTTTATAACCGCTAAGGGACACATTGGCTGTTAATACAATGCAAATAGCCTGGAATAGACCATGTTCAAAACTCTATTTTTCCTACACTAGCTGCGGATTTAGCGGAAATTTTAAGACCTTATTGAGAAAAGAGTCATTCAAAGTAGTGTCATTCAGTGGGAAGAACAGGCAAAGTTTGTCTCCTCTGAGAAGACCCCTCTCGGAAATGTCACAATATCAGACAGTAAGGTTATCATATGACAAATTAGTTTTAATACAGAACTTTCATCTGACATTTTACATCTGACGCGGGGGCGAATCTGACTCTTTCACCCGGCGGTTGCAACAATGACACTTTTTTAAAGATTTATATCGGAAGAAAAGGCTGTTCAAAAAGTCTCATTCCCATTATATTTCACCCTCACTTTGTACCGCACATAAGCAGGCAGTCCTAACATTATTCGAACGAGTAAATAGTAAATAGGAAAGACAGCAATGACAAAATGGATAAAAATCAATTCTAATGATGTTTTTTAAAAAACATAAGTATATGATAAATTACACGAAATCCTCTTTGCGCATAAAAGGATCCTAAATATATAATTTTCAATTTTTTTCTTGTCTAAATAATCAGTTTTCTGTGCAATTTTCAAAAAAAAAAAATCTTTTTCTAATTTTTTTATTTGTTCTGTCGTTTTTTCGATAAAGGAGTGAAATGAAGCTTCAAAAAATAATTCTATAGTTTTAAACGCTCATGTGATAAAAAATTAATAACTACAGATTGCCATTAACAAGGTCGTGAGACCGATTGAAACGCCCCTATTAGAGAAAAAATCTCAAGACATTACAGTCATGAATAGTTTACGAGCAACATGATTGAATCGAACGAATGTCACGCAAAAACGAGCGGTTAGAAAGCAATCGACAGCTATGCAATACGGAAAGCAAAAATCAAAATTTTAGTGTAAAGAAAAAACTTTACTTGTTTTTTGATGCTAATCAGCGAAGTTTTAAGCAGGATGACGACATTTTTTTATAAGTCAAGGAAGTTATATACAAGATTATTTTGAGTCAAAAACTCCTTTTTCTTGTCCAAAAATGACAAAAGATTGAACAAATGTAGTCACAGAACTTTGTGCAACTTGCCCACTCTTCTGAATCGTTTTATTTCAGTTTTTCATTTGTCCCGGGTTGACCAAAATTGCTAATCATACAATTTTCATTTATGGAAAAATGCCAGTCATTCACTTTTCCTGCACTTTCATAAAAAACACAAAATTGCATGAAAGATCTATGGTTAGTTATTTTTCATATATGGAAATTGTATGACTAGCATTTTCACATAAACCAAAAAAAAAAAATTTTATTTTTTTAAATTTAATTTTTCAAAATGTTTTGAATTTGTTTGTGACCAGGAGCTGATTTAGGGGGGGGGGGGGGGGCGGGGGCGGACGCCTCTCTTCAGGGATTCGACCCCCTTCCGACCCAAAGGGTCCCCCCTTTGTACTATTTTGAGAAATTCATATTTGGTGACGGACCCTAAAATTTTTCTAAAGGCGCCTTGGGCGCCAATATGTACTAATTTTGAGAGGGAAGCGCGCGCCAAAAAATCGCAATTTTTTTGGTCAAAGTTTTCCAAAAAGGGCCTAAAAACGAGTACTTTTGGCTTGTTTTTTTTTCAAAATTTTGACCAAAACAGGGTCTTTTTATTGATTTGGAAGAGCTCGGAAAATCAATTTGGTCGACCTAAAAAAAAGGTCTACAAAATTTTCGGATTTTTTTTTGAAAATCTCCCTCATGAAAATCCTAGATCCGCCCCTGTTTGTTACCGGTTCTTTTTACTCATTCCGCCCAAACTTCTTATTTTGTGATTTGTGATTTTCAAAGTCTAAATGCTAAGAAAAACACTGATAGCACTGGTTGATTTTCTGAATACAAATGCGATCACTTTAATCTTAAGCCGACTTCAAACCAGGCCAAATTTTGAGCAGATACGATGGTAGTCATTTTTTCCCTGGCGCTGTTTTCTGTATTCTTTCTCTAATCTGGGTAATCTGGCGCGTATTTGAAATAATCTTGAGTCATTTTAGGCCAATTCAGCTTATTTATAATTTGACTTAAAATTGTGAACAAAACATTTTGAGATGGTACTGAATTTTGATTGGCTAATTCAAGCCAATCGAATTGAAGAAAATAGTTTCAGTTCAAGATGTTGAAATATTGATTTTTGGGTGGAATAAGTAAAAAGACCCTCGTGACTGAACACAAATGACAAAAACCTGGTTTACTCAAAACTTGAGTCACCAAAGCTTTGATCGTTTTGCATTTACAACGCATTGGAAATGACCTGAAATGTACATAAAGTTTTCTTACACAAATGATATCAAAAAAATCAAAAACATCAAATTTTTAATTTTGGTTAAGGTTTTCGAAGATGATTTTTTCTAAATTTGAATTTCTAAGACATTGATCAAGGCATACATAAACATGCCATACAAAAAAAATACGAGTTTGTAGCGTTTTTGAAAAAAATTTATACAGAGAAACGGAATATAAATTCCAATTTTGTGTATCCAGGACTATGTTATGCACATAAAAACTTAAATTTTTGAATGAAATTTTTTTTTTTTTGGAAAATGTTTGTTTGAGTACTAAATTCGATTTGCGTTGAAGAAAAAACAGACAAATTTTTGTTGTCGCCATCAAAAAATGCTAGTCATACAATTTCCATATATGGAAACTACATGTTTATCATTTTTTTTGACAAAAAGTTTCTCTTTTTTGTTGAGTACGATACACCGACTTTTATGCCGTAACAAGAAAATTCTTTGAAAATTCGATGACACCATTTTAGCAAAATGTTTGAAATTAGTCTGATTAGTTTTTTTCATAGACTTAGTTTATGAAATTGTATGATTAGCATTTTTGGTCTTTGGCGTTCAACAAAAGATGTCAGAAAAAGGCTCCTGGCAAGAAGAACAATCATCCCTAGATAGGCTCTGAATTTGGCTCAACAAAAACATACAAAACTGAGATCAAATTTGCGGTGAGCAGCACTTCAATTGGTTGATGATTAGAGAAGAGAATCAAATAGAATTAAAGTTGTTTCGCTGTGCCCGAGGCAGGGTCCTAATTTCAATTTGTAGACATGAAAGCAGATTAATTCGAAATGCAAATCAATTTTGAAAAGAGACGTAACTGCCCGAGGCCAAAGAAAAAACGGCGATAACCTCGTATTTCAAAGGGCTTTATCCGTTCTTGGAGGGATCAAGCGAAATTGGGGGAATTTGGGATTAAGGTAACACCATTGGAAAACTAGAAAAAAATAAAAGGAAGCAAAAAAGAATTGCGAGGCTGAGCAGAACAAAATTTGAATAATTGGGAATTGCAATTCATTTTTTCTCTCTTTTATATTCCTTTTTGTTCCCGAAAGTGAAAACATAAAATGAATGAATTGAGTTTAAGTAACATTTGAAAGCTGCGCCAAAAACAACTTTGGAGGAACAAAAAGTTGATAAATGGATAAGTCAAAAGATAGGATAGAACTTGTTTCCTTATATCATAATAAATTAGTTCAGATTCAGACAGCTATAGTTCAAAATGGCTCTCGCTCTCTATAAAAAGCTTCAACCTTGAATTAGCTTACCAGCTACGTCAAATACAAAAAAAATCTTGATAATTTCTACAAACAATTCGGGCTAATTCGAATGATAGCCATGCAGGTTATTATAGACGTTTGATTGATGACTCATTTCAAGTTCAAATTGAATTTATTGGACCAAATTAACATCCCCCCAAGCTGTTTGGGGGAAGGATGTTAACTTGGTTCTAAGTTGGGAATTTTCAGCCCATCAGAATCGAGCATTTTACATGCAGCACTTAGCAAAGTTAATGCGAATTAAATACTGGGAAGGAAGATCTTCAATTTAGTGTATCTGAGGGGGGGGGGGGATTGAGTATGTTAACTTGATCCAATTTGTTTTTTAATGAATGCCTCTTTTCAAGTTCGTGATAATTTTTGGGTTACATGGTTTTTTTAGGTCTATCGGTTTCATCGGGAGGAAATTTTCGGCCAATTTAAAGTTAATTGCAAATGGGGAAAATTAATTGACTGAATTTACCAAAAAAACTGAATTTTTTGAACGATTTTAAACTTCCACTTGAAAATTAAGTGACGTCAATGAAAAAATCAAAATACGGCATCAATCCGAATTCAATTTTCTATCTTAAATTGATTCGATACCATTTTTAGACATACGCATCGAAGTCATGTAATGTAGGTAATCAAAAGACAATCTCCGTCCAACTTTTTAATTCAATCTCTTAAATTCACATTAGAGAGAACCCAGCATTCAACAATTTGAAGTCATTTAAGTAAAGGTTTTGTGACGTTCAGCCCAGGATCATTATGATGAATTGTACATGCTTGGCGTGGTTGTATATAGATTTGAGATAAGCAAAAACATCACGAACTTTGCACGGTTTCTAAAGCTTATCAACTTTTAAACAGCAAATGAAAAAATAAAATTCGTATCATATCTCGTGTAAATTGCTCCTTAACAGTTAATTAGAGAATCCTATTTGTTTCAATTATGGAAGTATTGCTAAATGAAGCTTTGAGTTGAAAGCAGCTCAGTTTGTTCGACTTAGTCGCCAATCGATAGGTTGACACGCCATTATTTTACCTCTTAGCTCTAACAATATCCTCACCCTCATTAGCATTGTTCCCTACACAACTCCCAGTGGGCAAAAGAGATGGGACGAAAAAGGAAAAAAGACAAATTGAATCAAATGAATCCTCATCAGCACCCTTTTGGCCCCCAAAGAAGCTGCTGAAATTGGAAAGTGGTGTCGGCGAACAATAAGTTCGCAGTTAGCATTTAATCTCACGCTGAGTTAATTTGATAGAGCGCTAATGAGAATTTATTTTAAGATTTGAACTTGGTATTTTTGCAGCAGTGATGCTACTAGGTTACGGTTTTGATGCGGCTTAAAGTTTCGATTCTTAGGACTGAAGAAAAATATTTTTTAAATCATCTGATGGTTTGCCTTGAAGTAAAGTGTAAAACGACATCTCGCAAAAAAGGCAACTCGTACAAAACAGGAATTACGATAACTCGCAAAAACTCGCAACTAACTCGTCAGCTAATCCTTTAATTACCCCTAAACTGACCCGTAATCTCCCCACTACATATCCGTTAATTTTAAACTTAATTCAAAACAATTCTTGGGGAAAGATTTGGGGAAAAAATTAACACCAAAAATTGAGTCCAAAACCTTGATTGCCTTAATTGATAAATTATCATTTTGGTTTCTAAATATGTTTTTACTCATTCGAACAATGTTGCAATTCACTACAAGTCAGCGCGAATCTTGATCTTTGAATATGAAAAATTAAAGAAATTCGATTTAATGAAAAGAATGGGTTAACATCATGAAGATGCACAAAAAAACTTTGCAATTCACAAGTTACAATTGTGTTAACAAATCGGGAGAACGCGAATTGTCCTTTAATCAAACCACATATACAACAAAACAGTGACCAAACAGAGGGAAGTAGACGAAGTTTACGACTCAACACCGGCGACATCAAACAGGACTGTTTTGTATCGGACTGTTTTGTATGGGAATGTTTTGTATATGCACCGTTTTTTTAATGCAGTTAAGACCGCTTTTTTCAAAAGTTATAATGTACTTTGATTTATTTTAAATATAAAAAAATAAATAAATAAATACATTTTGTTGTAAATATTTCACGCGAAATCGAAACAATGTATACCTGATAAAATCGAGTGATAATTCAGATAATACTTTTTCATTTAAAGTTTGAACTGCAAAGTTTTTTTTTTGTTTTTTTTTTTTGCTTTTTGGGAAGATGCTATGGTTGTAGAGCCAAGGATCAGTTTTTCAGGGCTGTATACGACATTAGAGGCTAAAAGTATCTTTACTTTTTTTCTTTTTTCGATTTTGGGCTAAGCTAAAATGCTGATTGAAAGGAATGAAATTGATAGCTTCATTGACAAAAATTAAAGTCACTCAAAACCTGTAACTGGATGTAATTTATCAGTAAATCTCTGAAGATGGTACGACTAGCAGTTTAAATCTGTCTGAACTGCATACGGACTGAAGCAAAAATGCCTATAGAAAATTCGGAAAAAAATATTTGCACATTACATTCTCAATACATAATTTTTAAATACGCAATAGTTGTTATGAGCTCAAATCATA